CAACTTCACCAATTGTCATCAAAGGTTATGATAATTAAACCGACCTTGCAAAACCTATGTCCGACCTGGTTGAACAAACAACCTCGATGGTTTTGCTGATAATTAACACCGGACAATTTTACAAACATTACGGGCATGAAATCAAAATGCTTCCATTCACACATTATTTAGTCAGTACACATTGACTGCCAAAATTAAACCAAACATGATATCATAAGCTGAGTTTAAAAATTTGGGAAAAAATTGAGGAAAAGCGTTATGAATATGAAAATTAAATTTGGGCGTTTTACTCTTCTGTTAATGACTGGAAAACGGGTCATCTATATAGTATGATGCGCAAAAAGCCTATTTCCATCTCCTAGTAGCACTGGATGTGAATCACTGATTCCAAACCATTACACCGGACGTTCTTCACCGGAACCTTCACACAGTTATCTTTGATATAAAAATTATTGTGTCTACTTCGGGAGTAGAAAAACTGAAATATATTTTCCGTGTTACCACAGAATGGGTGGTTATCCCGCTTTTCCTCGAAATTGTAAATATGAGGTATGAAATAACCATGACAAGCTTCTACAAGACGCTAAACATGTGTCATCGGATTGACTGATTAGCCTGATAACCAAGCCAAGTAAACTCGTGATTTCAGAACGGTGAACTGGACAGCAAGTATGGCGAAATCTGTCAATTGACACCAGACTGAACAGGCGCAGGTGCAAACAAGCTGGTCGGCGCTTGCTAATCGGGCAACTTTTTTGCAAAAAATTAATCCACCTTTCGACACATGCTTGCCATTCTTTAATCCCAAGCATAGAATACTTGCAGGTCAAAGTGGATGACACCGCCGGTGTTCTCGCCAAATCCCATAGCATGTATGGGCACACTGGCATACAACATACCCGGGAGCCACGACATTCTGTTCTAACTGGCAATGATGGATTTATTTGATCCTGATTTATCGATATAAAATGGTTTTATGGGAGCAGATCTATGTGCGCTGGTTTCAGCTCGTACGAAGATGCGGTGTCTAACGCTCCGTTTACTTTTACAACAACTAACCAGATGTCCTCATGTCAAACCATTTCGAGCATAGTTCTCTGGAATTTGCATCAGCGTTCAGTACATCGGGCATGTGTATCTAGAAGAGGAATCCGAGTTGCTTTTCTGTATGCCGCATCAGCAAAATAAACTATTTATAATGCGTTGATATTATTACAGTGCTCAAGCGGTACTGCTTTTTCTAATAATTATCTTGGGTCCCAGATGGCTACCTCTGTTGACGTTGAGTGCCTTTATCTAGGGAATGAAATTCATTTTGGCGGGTGATATCATCACCAACATAGATACTCTCGTAAATGCCATAAAACAACGAAAACAAAAAACGAGGCAGTAAATGGCGCATAGACGTATGAATGTAGCTAAATTTGTTTTAGGAGCAAACAATATCACTGAGGAAAGTGATTCTTTCTGCGTTAACCATAATTTAGACCGAGATAAAACGAAGGCGTTTAAAGATTCATCATGGCTGGGAGGAGTTGAGCATCCGTTGTTTCATAGTTCAAAATAAACGCATATTCAGGCGGCAGAATATTTGTTTATCGAACCGACAACGCGATAAAAAGCTTCAAGCTGGGAATTGTACTTTGAAGCCAGCAAATCAAATTCTCAAAAGTGGGGACTCAGTTGATTTCTGATTCAAACTGTTTTGCGCTGACGATTTACCCTAGGGCATCAAGACGATGTCGGAAATACCAAATGAAAACCATGCCCCACACTTTTCGCATTTCGTCTCCTCTACAATAGAGGGGCGTCCAGAAGTGAGGTAAACAAGTAGCGGGTTTCGAGAAAAAGCGAAAAGCAGATTGCTGGATTGTTAAATCACAGGATATTTGGCACTTTTATTACAGAGTCCAGTCATGGACAAGAGAGAAGACAGTAAACCAAACGGTATAGGAAATCCACCTTTAAATCTTGACACGACTTTTTATCAAAAGTTTGGTCTTCGAAATTATTTTTCAGTCTTTTAACTTGCAATCGCCCCCTGGAGCAATGTTTCGGATGACTTAAAATGGCTTCCGTGTAAATCTTGTCTGATTCGAAACTTCAGGTTATATCATGCCTATGTGTACACAAACCAGCATTTGACTGCCATGTAGCTCATCAAATAACCTATTCGCGAACATGGTGTCAGTGAAATAAAGTTATGATAATGGCCGTTTTGTGATGCAGCCGCTTCCGATCACAGGCTACTATTTTACATTCAGCAATCTGTTAAATTCCTAACTGCACCGTCTGTCGTTAAAACCGATGACGTCGAAAAAATGGAGATGAATTTATTACGCACATCACTTTCCCGATTTTTGTCAATGATAGCATAATATTGTCACTGGAGTATACAGAGGTGTAGCACTTATACCGATAATTTCATCCGGCAGATTCAAGATCCAAAAACTGCATCTTGACGCTTGAGTTCAATGCAAATACACTCAGTAGTGCCAAAATAGATGTTTTGCCCTCAAGCATGGAAGCCGTCTAGTCCTGTCAAAAAAGGCCCAGTTGCAAGCCATATACCCTTCGGCTTCTGTAAGAAAACAGATCAGAAAGTGTGACTATTGTTTCTTGGAAGTATGACTGACAAAACGTGTACTAATTGCATTCACTCAAAGTGCTGTGTCGAAGATACCGTATACCTATATGATTAATCGGCGTATGTCTGCAAGTGAGACTGCTGCAAGATTCCCACCAAGGCATTTACTTCGTCGTTCGGTACACAAGTCCTTTTGTCCCAGATGGAATATTCACCATTTGGCGTTGCGCAGGTTGTTCAACATTGGTTGAAAAATACCCTCCGATAAAATGAATACAAAAATAAATTGGAAACATCAGGCTTACTACAGGTTTATCATATTAGTGAACAGCACTGCGTAAATTAGAATTGCAGTGTTACACGTCGTACAAGCGCTCACAACGAGATGAAAAGTAATTTTCCGTGAACTAGATGACCAGTAAGCATTATGCCGTTGGGTTTTGGTACAACGAGATAGTAATTTTCCGTGAACTAGATGACCAGTAAGCATTATGCCGTTGGGTTTTGGTTGAGCTCCAGTAAAATTGTTCCTATATATATCGTACGGGTGTGAATACGAAGCATGCGATCATCTCCTGATTCCAACTCAATGGATGTTAGTTTTCCGCCTTTGAACAAGCACCAGTTTTGCCCAGATATTGAACTGGTTTCTTTACTCCCCAAATTATGAGAAACCCTGATCACAATAGGATACAAATTAAACTGTCAAATGAAACTACGTAAACGGTTTATCGGATGATCCACAAATCGGACCACACTACACAACCCAAAAAACATTTCGAACAATAATGACAAAGTACAAGCCCAAAATGACCTCCTGGTTGGTTTTGTCGCAATTCTAGCCTAGCGGGGGCATAATAAAATAAAATAAAATAAAAAAGGCCTGTTTCATGGAGCAATTTTACTCGAATACGCAGGTGCCCCGCGCTGTACTGTGGAATCAGTTTCGGCCGACAGAGTACAGACCGATTCACCTCTGCTGGCTCCGCTCCTTTGAAGTAGCAATGGATCTGTGGACTGTCGGCTTAGTAAAGCCGACCTGGTACAAGTCACGTATTTGCATGAAATTTTATTGAATTTACATCGAACCTTCAAGCCTTCCCCTTCTGGTTGTGCACAAGCGAGAACCGGAGTGATAAACCCGGAAACGGGACCTTGAAATTTGCTTAACCGGAAGCCCTCCAATACCGTAACACTAGCTGATTAACCTTACTAAACTCTACAGCGCCCAACCCAATATGGAACAAGCAATCTAATTGCAACTGACCTCAGTGCCATTGTTGTTTTTTTGTAGTTGCCCACGCGCCTGCAGTGATTCAGACGCTTTGTACCACTAAATGCAACTTGCACATTGTATATTGCTTCACAGAGGAAAACCACTTGTCCTGTGCATGATTTTTTCATTCAGTTACGGCAAGTATTCTTAATGCTGAGTTGCAGCACGACACCACAATGTGCAATGTGGTGCGCCGCGTAGAACTTGGGCTGATTCCTTCTTGTGTGAGTTTACACAGTTCGCACGAAACCCAACATAGTTGATTAGAGCTGCCTAATCTTTTTTGGCATGATCTGACAATGAAAAGGCCCAATCTCAGACCCGCACTATTAAAACCATCGTTAACTGACGCGAAAAGTCTACAAAACTCTGTACGTTTTGGTAGACGTGGACACACTTGATTCCCAACTCATTTTGCACTCACACATTGAGATTCCACTTTGACATGAGACACTAAACAACGGCTCATAAGTTTGGTCGTGGTGTTCCTTTCTTTTGTTTGATTGAACAATCCTGTAAGATTTGTGCGTTTAATCTGGACCAAGCTGTTTGCTTCAAATCTCGAACTCCCCATTTATCCCGAAAAACAATAATGTCATGTTTATGAGCAAACTCAGGTATTCGGTTTTCGAGTATATGTAGGGACATTCTCACGACGTTTCATTGGGCCCGGATAATCCAATATCTCACCGTGTTTTCACCATGGCAACTAATTTATGTGCTCCTCTGCTTCAGCGTGACTGGATAATATTTGTTAACCAACTCGCGCTAAAAAAATTATCCCTGTACGACTTAAATCTCAGAGACAGATCACAAAGCCACACTTCGGAAAATTCTGTCTATGTGGTTCATTTTTGTCACATTTTCTGGTTGTTTCCTGACCCGAGTTACATCACATCCGTGAGTAATTCTCGGTGCATAAAATACGTTTTTAGAATTTCAGAGCATACGGACAAAATCGAACGAAATGAGCGGGCAATGTTCAGAATCCCATTGTATCCTTGGGGTTCGGTAAGTATCGTAACGTTTCACATGGTTCAAATTTTTAGGCGCAATATTTATGCACAATCACGATTGAGCAGACTGTGTTTCGCATGTTGCTTGATACCGGTTCACCGTCATTATGGGTGCCTTCAGATCATGTGGATAGGAAGCTGTGGGTTGGCAAAAGTCTACTGAATATGGCACAGGCATCTTCGCTTCTGGTCGGCAGAGATATCTTCTACCAGCGTTACGGGGCTGGCAATGTGGGTGGAATAAAAGCCACGGTTCACATGAATGTAGGTCTCTCGCGTTGAATACTCCATAAATATTCTAGTTTGGTGGTATGCTTATTGGAAACGTACCGCTCGGCTTAGTGATGGCAGGTGATGAAAACGTGTATAATAATCCCTTTGACGGAATTATCGGATTAGGACGGCGGTCGATAAATCCACAGAACACAAATCCCCTTTTTCATTCTTTAAATCAACAAGGATTGATGAGTCGGAAATTTGGCTTCTATTTCCGGGAGTAAGTTGAACGCCTTCCAAATTTAATGAGATTAATAATGGATAAAATGTTGACAAATATTGCCAGTAATTTCCTAATCAAAACAATATCTTGTTTACATTCCACTGTCATCTTCCTGTTCTGGCGTACACCACACCAAAGGAAGCACTGGACTCGAGTTTTGGTCTTATTAGAGCTCATCAGCAGTGCACATTCAATGACCGTGCCAGGATTTGAGCAATATATCTATCCCGCTAAACCCCAAAACTGCAACCAAAATGTTGCCTATTGGGTTTCAAGCGCATGTCACGCTATCCGACTGGGAAGTCCTGACTCGCGGGTCAATCAATCGTCACAACAAGGACAGTTACTCGGTCGTCGTTCGGTGGGTCGGGCACACCAATCACATCGATCAAGTGTGTGTTGGTGGAGTATTGGCTACAAGCTCGCCTCGCATGTCAGATGCGCTGGGTTCAAGTCTCGGCACGGCCGGCGGATATGCAATGCTGATGAGCTCTAATAAGAGCGAAACTCGAGTCCAGTGATTCTTTATGGTGTGGACTCACCGGAATAATTGCGCAAGAACAGGAGGACAACAGTTTAAACGAGAGTGGGTTGACTAAGAACAAGCTACTCATCCCTAAATACCCCAAAACGGCAAACAAAACAGTATCATCAAATTTCGTAATGTTCACAATCGTATTTTGCTGTTATATTCTGCAGTAGCGGTGCCACATTCTTGATGGGCGACAATCTCGAACAACTCATTACTGATCCAGTGACCTACATAAATGTCGCGGAGGGACCTTATTGGGAAACGAGGGTTGACTGGTAAGCAAGAGACATTTCCGGCGGGAAACTTTTCCGGCTCACTTATATCAGCTGCTTGGGGACTGAAATTACCTCCTAATTTTTGCACACATTTTATAGGATATTCATTGGCAATTCGGGACTTTGCACGGAAGACCATAGGATGGTTCTCGATACTGGTACCAGCACAGTCAATCTGCCAGGAGATATTCACATGGCGATCAACAATGTTTTGGGTATCTGGAGGAGAATGCACCACGTTTACGTGTTCGACTGTGAAAGGCTGCCTGACCTGCCTCCGATTACATTCCAAATACAAGGGAAAAGGCTCCAAATCATGCCAAGACAGTACACAATACAGGTAGATAATCTCTTTCGCACACAAGTGATCAGCCGTTTAAATTGTACAAAACACTCGCCTCTTAATTTACACGTGAAAAATTTTAATCACCGGCAGATCCGTTGAGAATAAGACTTCTTTCTCCTCAAATAAAACTTTTTAAATTTCAAACACTTGCTTTCGAGCCGTTCTATTTTTTTCTTAAAATAATCTCACAATTTTACTTAACTGAATTAAAGCCCTCAAATTGTGAACAACCTGATACAAAGTACAATCGACTGCAGCCGCAAACGTGAGTTTTCGAAAACAAAATGAAATTAGTGATTGCAAACATCGAAAAGTTTGCAACGATTTCCATCTTCAGCAAAGCAGTCAAATCTGGGTGAAAATTGTTGATATCAAGATTTGCTACCATTAGGGATATTTTTTGAAATTAGTACATATCTTTCAGAAATACATATTGTGTCATATTACATGTCATTTATCTTCTTTGTACGTTTCTACCATTTTTATTTGCTCATTTTATATTATATTTTGAAACATAGTTGAGTAAAATATCCTAAGGAGGGCCAAAGACCATTTTTGTTGATGCTGCCTAATTTGTTGAACAATGTTTCCACAGACAACCACCAATGGAGTTACGACGTGTTACACTCGTTTTCAAAACACCAGTTCCGACTACCCTGTGGGTATCATACTGGGAATGTCATTCCTACATTCATTTCAACTGATCTTCGACGACCACGCGGGTACCGTTGGATTTTCTGAGCGCCCCGGGAGGTCTTCCATTTCTTAAATGGGGTGAAAAAATAACATAACTATACAGAAGTAATGACAAGCGGCTTGAGCAACAAAAAACATCAATCGTGCATACTTCCGTGTGTTTTTCGTTACCACTCAGGATGGTGAAATGCAAACTATAAACACGACGGCCAACTGCAGGGTCTCAATTATTTGGCCGTTAAAGTACTCGGCCGCAGTGTTTACTTAGGTTTTATTTGTCACCCAGATATGAAAAATGTATCCACCGTAAACAAACATGAGTACAAGCTGGTTCGTAAGCGATCTGCACAGGAAACTGCTTTGCACTATTACAAATTGCTAGCAAGGCTGCTTACAATTAATGGGAGATTACGAATTCAAAAACACTCACAGATGTCCAGAAATACATTTTCAGATTGCACATCGGTTTTCTTGGTTACACGTTATGAAACCAGAAATGTCGCTGGATGGTTGGAATTAATGAGTATTCAAAACTAAATCAGTCTAGAGATCAGTTTGTCAAGCCAGAAGTTTTTGAGGTCCACCTGTATAAAGCTTCATCAATCAAAAATTATAAAATGGTGATTAGGAATTCATGCAAAAACCCGACAACAACGCGATCAAACACAGCCCGTTTCTACACTGCCCATTATTCTAACAAACACGTTGTGAGTTGCCTGTAACCAGGTACAGAACCTGTTGACCTACAGCTGACACGAAACTAGATAGGTTTGGATCATCTAAAACTAGTGAGCTTGCGAAAAGAGACTGATGCGGGCGCTATTAAGATATCGATGCTATACATTATCCAGTAAATTTTAGCGTGCATTGCTTCCATCCTCCTCCTTCTCTATCTATACTCAATGGTGTACCCACTCACGAAACTTTGGGAGATTCCAAATTATAGGTTTTCCCGCTTCGGAGAAAAGAGCAGCCCCACTCACGTTGGGAGATTCCAAATTATAGGTTTTCCCGCTTCGGAGAAAAGAGCAGTCGCGATTCATCAAAACTATTGCTGCATAATCTAATCAAAATAGCAGGTGAGGGCGATTTCTGGACCGTATTTTGCCACTTTTGGTGGTTCTGCTTGCTTTCAAACATTGTGCAAACCGGTGGCCGCTTGATCAATATCTGTACCTTGCCTTGGTTGATGAATTCGAGACGGAGAGCAATTGAAATCACTTTCATGAAGTTAGGATATTGTTCCACTTGGAGCATTCAGTGATATGAAAGGCTAACACGGTTCAATAAAACAACTGAACTGAACGTGACTGGGGCAAACTCTAGGTACTTGCGTCTGGTTTCTCAGTTGAATTCAAACAGTAACTTGGTAAATTGCTACTCGGAGTCAACAAATGATGATGGCGCTGCCGAGAAATCTTTAGGGGCATAAAAAAGGGAAATAAAAATCAAATTCTAAAACTTCCTCAACTGGATTTTAGTAAATTGGAGTTCGGTTTATTTGCAACTTATGAACATATTTGTACACAAAATGCTATTTAGTATTGCCCTTACATTGCCTCTATAATTCGGTGCAAAATCCCAACTTCAAGTGTATTACCTGCCACATTAGGCATTAAAAACTAGAGACTGTGGATATTTCCTAAGCCACGCTTTGATATCTGTAGTGAATACCTTTTCAGTTCCACATTTAACGTTGAAGCTCGTAAACCTAACAGAAGCGCTTACACTTTAGCGATGTTTTGAAATCGTACATCAAATTTGCATCTTCCTCAATCGCTGGCCACAAATATAGGAGGCAAAATACGCAACGGTTTCAAAAATATTCCTCACAGATTTGCTCTGTTAATTCAAATAACTGTCCACGAACATATAGCCTACAACGGAATACTGCGAACAGTAAGAAGCAAGCGGGGGCCACCCGAAACAACGTACAAATACATTTAAAGTACATACATCCATACATCCATACATCCAT